TTTTAAGCTTCCTCTAAGGGTCCCAACATTATTATAGGAAATATCTTCTCATCTTTCTGCCAAATTGTTTTCTTTTCATTGGTCTTCCTATTTCATATTTTCAACAGATTCAGTTCCTCCTTGATTTTCTAAGTAAACTTGAGTCTTAGAGAAAATATCTATAAATAGCTTTTTAAAATAGTCTACTTGGCCTTTGGGTTTATAGTAAATTTATTGACTTATTTAACTACCTTAATTCTGAAAAATGGCATATGTATTTGTTTATACTAAGTGTCTATTTTAAATTTTTATTGAGATATGATTTGCATAAAAGTATAATTCTTAAAAGTAAATTTTTAGTGAATTTGAAAAGGTATAACCCATACTTGAAACTCATACTTGAAAAATAATATAGAATATTTCCAGTGCACCCACTGTACTCTTTTCTGGTCAATTTTGTCCCCAGCCTTCTACAGTGAATTGGAGGTTCTGATTTTAAATCACAATACATTATCTTTGCCTGTTCTTAAGCTGCAAATAAAAAAAAATCCTTTCCTTTATTGTACTAACTTGTATTTTCTTTTCTTTGGTTCTAAAGTAGAAGTTTTGTTTTTTGCTTTTTGTAACAACAGACATTTAAAGTTATAAATTTATCTCTAAGGGCACCTTACTTGCATTCCACAAATTTTGATAGTGTTTTCATTATCACTAATTTGGAAATATATTATTTCTCTGAGTTCTTTGATCAATTGGTTATTTAGAAGATTGTGGTCACCTTTTAGGGAGTATTTTTTAGTTATTTTTTGCTATTAATTTCTAATTGAGTTCTGCTATGATTAGAGAACATATTCAGTATGATTTCAATCTTTTAACATCTGTTGGTTTATTTTACAACCTGGCATTTCTTCTCTCTTTGTGAATATACCATGTGTACTTCATAAGTGTGTTCTGCAATTGTGATTATACAGTTCAATAAAAGTCAGTAGGTTAGGTTGCTAAGAGTGTTATTCAAATCTTCTATATCCTCTTTAAAGCTTGAGAGTAGAATCTTAAAATCTAGAATTCTGTGAGTCTGTCTCTTAAGTCTCTTATTAAAAACCCTGTTATAGTAGCATGAATTTTTTTTTTTTTTTTTTTTTTGAGATGGAGTCTCGCTCCCTTTAGGCTGCAGTGCAGTTGTGTGATCTCGGCTCACTGTAACCTCTGCCTCCTGAGTTCAAGCGATTCTCCTGCTTCAGCCTCCTGAGTAGCTAGGACTACAGGTGCCTGCCACTGTGCCTGGCTAATTTTTGTATTTCTGTTAGAGACAGGGTTTCACCTTGTTGGACAGGCTGGTCTTGAACTCCTGACCTCAGGTGATCCACCCGCCTCGGCCTCCCAAAGTGCTGGGATTATAGGTGGGAGCCACTGCACCCGGCTGTAGGATATTTTTTTAATATTGATGTTTTTATCTTTTTGAAATGTCCAGTAAAATGTCCCTCTTCATATCCAGTAAAAACATCTCTCCTACCTTGAAATCCTTGATATCAACATATTCCTATCTATTATATTTTATCAAAGATACATTGTATCTACATACATACACATATAAGCATATTATATATAAAGGCTTTAATATTCTGTAAGTGGTATA